TTCTGCGAGGCAGCTCTCGCTTAATGTCCTATCTGCGATCGCTGTGATTGCATCAGTGACCTAACCTGTCGGTTCAACAATTTCTCACTTGGTGACGTTACTATCCACATCCGCAACATGCTCCACTTCTACCTTGGCAATGGCCATTCCTACGCCTCTTTCCATAAGACCGACATGCGGTGTTGGAATAGTAATTCGGCTTCCCAAAGTTCTTCTTACTAGAGGGACAAATCTCCGATTCTTTGTCATAGGCTTCTTTCCAAAGTTCCTATTGTCCCTAGCCGGCGCGTACCGCAATCCATATACGATAACCCTCTCATTCATATCCCTTTCAACCGTTTAAGCCTTGTCATATAGCTCATTACAATCCCTTAACTTCATTAGCATCAACCGATCATGAGATTCGGCTTTCAAACCATCCCGGAACCTTCTTGTCCCATCCACACGATCATTGACTATCCTTGGTGCGTACTTAGACAACCTTACAAACTTGACCTCGTACTGATCGATTGACATTCAATTTTAGCGAAGACGAAGAAACTCTGTCATTTTCTGTCCTCGCGCACTCTCTGAAAGTACCCCACATTGAAGGCCTCGATAACGACACCCCAGCTTGGAAATATGCCCTCTGAAATATCCTACTTCAGGGGCTCTCTTACCAATCCTTTGCATTTCCTTAGAGTTGATATATAGCCAGGGTCATTTTCTCCTCATCAGTGCACCCGAATACCTCAAAAGCAATGTAGCCTCAGGGTTACATTTACCATCGAACTTCAGAGGTTTCAATTTCAAATATTTTCTAACCAGCTGACGCATCTATCTAATTGCATTAACTTGCCCTTGACCTTGATCCCCAACATTTCTATTATGCCCATGATTCCCGTTATTTCCATTGGCGGCGACAACAACCCCGGCATTAATAGCAACGATCGCATTTTACTTGCTCGCTCCGCTTCCCATTAAAACTCTAACTTCCTCGAGTGTCCTCAAAATCTCATCCCATCTAGGATCCCCCACAACTCCAACTTGCGGACCTACACGACCTCGACCTCTTCCTCGGCTACTCTTACTCATAGGATTCACACCATCCACTTACTTACTATAATTCCCCTCGGGAATTAAAGACCTAGGCCAACTATACCGGTCTAAAGCCCTAGGCAGTGAATCGCAACAACAATTCACTAAACAGGCAGCCAATCACAACCAACAGCCAATCACAACCAACAAAGTTCGTGCACTTACCTCAAGTCTTGACGCACCTGCACCTCACATATTATTGCATAAAATCACTCAGCAATCACAATCACACAGTCTGGGGTACGCATGGCACACAAATCTTCCTAATTGGCTACCCCAAAGTCATCGCTCCTTATCACTCCAGGTCTCGACCATCTTGGATCGAGCTAACCTTGCTCTGATACCAAATCAATAGGGATGTCACGCCCCGGACCCCAACGGGCTCGCGACACCCCTTCAACGGTCGTATTGAACGCGACGTCCCAGGACGCGTCGCCGACCCAAACGAAACACCCAACGATAAAGGCAAGCGGAAGCGAATTTAAAACAACCCAGACAATAAAATATGACAAAGGGATAGCACAAAACAATAATTCTAAATACACAACATCAAAAGGGAATAGTGGTGGGGTATCCTACTTCGCTATACAAAAGAGGGGCACACAAAATATGGGGTAACTTGACCCGTCCTCCATCCCCGAGATACCCTGGTGTCGTCTCCAATCAATCCCGATCGCAGATCTGAAAATGGTTACGTAATAACCGTGAGAACGAGTCTCAATAAGCAACTCCCTATACCCCACATAGGCCAATGCGTACCCAGACAAGTTGTACATGCAATCTACCCCATAACATATAAAATTCACATCATTGTACTTACCTCGTCATCCAATCACATGCCCACACTGAACCTTAGTCAAATCATAATAATGGAATAATAGTCAATGAACACATCAAAATTATTCGAGCGCCATACACACGTACGTTCATCCAATTCAACCCAAACACATTTCACATGCGCATCCATCCAACTTTCACACGACCCGGTCAACACCCCACGGTCGGCCCTCCGATCAATCCAAGCTCGTCCCGGTCAACACCCCACAGACCTTTCAAAAACAAACTTTCACACGACCCGGGTCAACACCCCCAGGTCGGCCCTCCGATCAATCCGGCTCTGTCCCGTCAACACCCCACAGGACCTTTCACAAACAAACTTTCACACGACCCGGGTCAACACCCCGGCCGCCCCTCCGATCAATCCGGCTCGTCCCGGGTCAACACCCCACAGGACCTTTCACAAACAAACTTTCACACGACCCGGGTCAACACCCCACAGGTCCTTTCTCACAACCCGGGTCAACACCCCTCAGGTTGGCAGCCCTCCGATCGATCCGGGCTTGGTCAAGCAATTACATACGCCACATAATTCAATCAATTACCATGTCAATCACATATTCAAATATCGTTATATTATGCTCAATCGTCACTCATTCTAGTCACATCAAGCCACAGTTCACATAATAGGCGTCAATCTAACCACGAACAAACAACACGAATCGTCGCCAAGCGGACGTTAAATCATACAAGAACATCCAATGAACTTAACATAATTTCCAGCATTAATGACCACCAATCCAGCCATGATTTCAACAATAAACCACCTCATTTCGGCCCACAATCCGACCCATTCACTCGCCCCGAAATCCGCCACCAATTTAGCATCAACCGACACAAAAATCAGCATTCAACCGTCATAAAATCAGCACCAATCAGCCGCACAATTAGCCTCACTAACACGCCATTCCGATATAACATAGCTAATATTTCGTTCCATAGATTACCCAACATCGGCTCATCGAACTTGCCATTCCTCGAGCCAAAAATCAATCATAAATCTCGCAATGACCAACCACTAAACAGTCAAGATTCCGCCCGCACATCGCTCCACTCGACTCATAAAACAACCTATCACGATCACCATTCGAAAATCGCCGCACCAGCCATCGAATCCTCCCCCTCAATTCAGCCACAAATAAACAACCCGAACAATCGCCAATCGAGCATTGAATCACACACAAACAACTAATAAACTCGACATAATTTTCCAGCATTATGCGACCTTCAAACCAGCCATAAAATCAGCGATAAACCACCTCGATTCAGCCCATACTCCGGTCCATTCGTTCACCTCGAGCCAGCCCACAATTCATCCACCAAGTCGCACTAAACGGCCATTAAATCAGCCCCGAATAGCCCCTAATCAGCCGCCAATCTCACCCTAAACGACCCCTAAACAAGTCTATTAATACGCAAGGTCCTAGACAAGGTTTAGGGTGTCGCTTACCTCGACTTGAGCAAGAAAACGGGGCTGGGCTGCGAGGGAAATCGCCGGGACAGCCGCAGCGGCGGCGATCGGCGAGGCTACTCGAACACAGGCTGGGCGATGGCGGCGGCAAGGGAGCTCGGGCGAGCGGCAGCGGCTTCCGGCGAGAGGGGAGCAAGCGGGGGCCTCGCGCCGAGGCAGCAGCCTGGCTCCGGCGTTGAGCAAGCGTCCACGGCGGCGGCGGGAACGAGGCGGTGAAGAGCGAGAACAAGGGAGGAGCGGTGGCCCGCGAGGAGGGTGGTGTCGGGTGGCCCGGCCAAGCGGTGGGGTGGCGATCCGGTGGGCGAAGCGCAGGCGGCTGGTGGCCGGCGGCTCACGGCCCAGCAGCATGCCTTGCAACACGGCAGATCCAGCCCAAGGCTGAGGGAGAGAGAGAAGAGAAAGGAGTAGACGGGGACGGTCGGCTCGGGACGATCGGCGGCACGGACACGGCTCCGGGTCGACGGGAACACCGGCGACGGCGGTGAGGCGCGCGGCGGCGGAGCAGCAGCGCATATGGAAGACACGCGGAAGGGGTCGGGAAACGAGATCAGAACGAGAGCGAACCAGCACGGTCGGGCGGCAACTAGCGGACGACGGCGCGGCGGTCGGCGTCGGGCGACGAACACACGAGCGGAACCGGTCGGGGCCGAGGGAGGAAGAAAGGAAGAAGAAGAAGAAGAAGAAAGGAGGAAGAAGGAGAGAGAAAAGAGAGAGAGAGAAGAAAAGGGACGTGCGGGCGAGAGGGGAGAGAACGTGCGCGTAGGGAGGAGGGCGCGGCAGAGGAGGAGAGAGAGAGAGAGAGAAAAAATAGAATAAGAAATAATTTGAACATTCAAATATTATTTGCAAACTGATGGTCCAAATTCAAAACCGAAAACGATCTACCGGTCCAAAATAAGCCTCGCATATAAAAAGGGACAAATGCCAAATTAATTAGACCAAATTATAACGATGGAGGTCTACTATTCCAAATTCGGACATGGTCAAAAACTCCCCTTTTTCCATAATTCCTGAAAATCTCAACGTTGGCTACCATAATATTGACACCGTTCAATTTATTTCGTCCCGAAACTCCCGAAAATCGACTGCCAAGTTCAGGGTCTAAATAACGGCCAAATTTGATCGAGTGCGATTCTAGCGAAATCTCTAATTTAAAATGATCATCGGGAGTGATCAGTTCCCGGACGAGATTTTACTATAAGCACACTGACAAATTACGCGTTTTATAAATCCCAGGAATTGGCCGAAATTCGGGATGTCACAGCCCACCTGCCTGTCGGCTGTCCCTTGCCGCCCACCCATCACCGCCTGCCGTCGCTGCCTGTTGCTCATCGGCTATCCGCCGCTGCACGTCGGTCGTCCATCGGAAATAGAAATTTAAGAATAATCTATCAAACAAATTTTTATTCTAGGAATATAATTTTTGTATCGTTATCAAATGCTATTTTTTGTTCAGAAATTCGCCTGGGGAATAGAAATTTTTATTTCTATTTAGAAATAGGATTGGAGAAGAGAAATTTTATTATTCACGCCTTTATTGCCACGATAGACGTCGGACATAAGGGCCTTTTTCGTCAAAGTTTTATTATAGCTACTTTCTTCTTTTCTTTTGGTCGAAAAAATATAGCAACTCGTCACAGGTTGGAAAATCTTCCCATCCACATTTCTTGTACACCTGATCTCCGGAACTCATTTTCCTCTGCGAAATAAACGAAGTGAAAAAAAGCCACCTCTCAAAGGCTCAACACCCTTTTTTCTGACCAAAAAGAAAAGCTCAACACCCTTTTACGTTTCTTGATTCTGCTTCCCATCTGCTTGAGAAAGCACAAGGAAGACAGCTAGAGAGACAATCAATCTGTAATGGCTGTTGAAGTGGCTGCTTTCTTGCTGAAAGAGAAGCTGCAGAATCTCAGAGCTGACCAAACCATAATATACCCGAGACTGAAGGGCAGAATCAGTACTGCCATCAACAATCTGCAACGGCTCTCGAGCTTCTTGAAAGACGCAGCAGAGTCGGACAATGCAGAGGACCAAGAAAGCGAGAGAACCAAGCTCTTGTCCTCCATCTACAGTGCAGAGGACACCATTGACACCTACCTCCTGAGAAGAGCCCAGCAGAGGCTCAAGGACTTGGTTCCTCTGTGGAGCCAGAAGGAAGTGAGCAAAGGGTTGAAGAAGTTAAACGATGACATCAGGGACTTGTCCTTTTTCTCTTCACTCGAGAAATGTCAGCCTCAACCTCAATCTCTTCAAAGCAAAGTTCCTGTAAATGTTGGAAATGCCACCACTTGTGAAGGAGGAAGCACCCACCGTTGGGAAAAGATCTCTCATCTTCTTGACCTGGAAACAGAGGCTGTGGTTCGGAAGCAGCACATGGAGGAGCTTGTGAAGGACTTGATTCCTCTGCCTCAGGAAGAACAAGAATTTAGGGTTCTTACTGTGGTCGGCTCGGGAGGCTCAGGCAAGAGCATGATGGTGAGATCGATTTGTGACAGGGTCGACATCAAGCAGCACTTCGAGTGCCGCGCTTGGCTCTGCGTGTCCAGGGACTTCAAGTTCAGAGATGTGGTAATTGATCTGATAGAGCAGGTCTCCATAACTCCGTTGAGTGGGATAGACCATTTGGGGGATGACATCTTGGCTGAGATGCTTCTCAAGGCGTTGATGCAGAAGAGGTATCTGATTGTGGTGGATGATGTTTGGAAAGTTGAGGATTGGCACAAGCTGACAATCCCCTTACCGGATTTGCAAAACGGAAGCAGAGTGATTCTTACCACTCGTTCTGATGAAGTAGCTAAATTGGCCGATCCGTGGGGCAATCCGTTACGGCTGCACCTGATATGTGATGCAGAGAGATGGGAATTGTTGAAGAAGCAAGTCGGTAAACGTGAAGGCAAATTGGGGGAATACAAGGATATGATCATGGCAAAGTGCCATTATTCACCTCTAGACATAGTTCTAATGGGTGGGATTTTGTCAACCACAGAGTCCAGTGAATGGCCTAGAATAGTCACCAAACTTCCGTCTGCCTGTGAAGGCCGGTTGACATCGTTGGACATCGTGTCTTTGAGCTTCCACGAGTTGCCGCCACGGTTGAAGGTATGCTTTCTGTATCTCGGTCTTTTCCCGAAAGCATTAGAGGTTCCGGTTCGGAGATTGTTGTGGCTGTGGCTGTCAGAGGGTTTCTTGAGTCCAACGCCTGCTGAGCGAGAAATGAAGCTTGAACCTGAAGATCTAGCTGACATGTGCTTCCAAATCCTAGTCTGGCGGAAGTTGATTGAAGTAACAAAATGGAAGTTGGATGGCAGCCCGAAAATGTGTCGCATGGCGGGTGTCATGCATGATTTCTTCTCTCCAAAATCAGTCGGTTCAGGTCTTTTCTACATTCGTGATAATGAAACCAAACTTCCTAAAAATCACAAGATTCGACGGTTCGTGGAGTATTTGGAAAGTGAGAAGATTTTGGACTATTCCATCGATGAAAATCTACGTTCTTTTGTGTCTTTCAACAACAAACTCAGGGGTAAGGCCAACAGAGGAATTGGTACATTTTTCAAATCCTTGGTCCATAAAAAGGGGTTTGTATTGCTAAAGGTCCTTGATCTAGAGGGTGTCTACAAACCTATGCTTTCTGAGATAGTGGGCAATTTACTTCTTTTAAGGTTTCTAGGCTTGAGATCGACAGCACTAGAATCAATCCCCTCGGCTGTCGGAAAGCTGCCGTGCCTAGAAACTCTGGATCTGAAGCACACTAACGTGACCACCCTACCCAACTCGATTTGGAAGGCGAAGAACCTTAGGCATCTGTACATGAACGATGTTCACGTCGACGCATTATTCCAGAAGCTGAGTAAAGGTTCTTTAAGCAATCTTCAGACACTGAGGGGGCTGTATGTCGGTAACGAAATTGTCGTGACCAACAGTTTGGATAGACTGGTTAACGTCCGGAAATTGGGACTGACATGTCACAAGAAGTCAGTGAAGGCTGTGGTAAAATGGGTTCTGCTACTGCCTAATCTTCATTCTCTGAAGTTGAGGTCAATTGATGAGTTCGGTAAGCCGTCGAACATTTACTTAGTGTCCCTGGAGAAACAGACCAAGCTCTGCAAGTTATACTTGCTCGGGGCACTAGTGAAGCAAGTAAACCTGAGCGGGGTACTCCCATCGTGCCTCAAGAAACTTACATTGTCAATGTTGGCACTGAAGGAAGATCCTATGCCAGTGCTGAGCAAGTTGCCAGAGCTAAGCATCCTCAGACTCTTTGCTCATTCGTATTTAGGACGTCAAATGACTTTCGATGGTGAGGGATTTCTGAAACTCAGGGTTTTGAAGCTGTGGATGCTCAACCAACTGAGGAGCTGGACAGTGAAGAAGGGAACGATGCCTATCTTACAAGAACTAGAAATCAGAGCGTGTAATGCGTTGAGGAAGATTGATGGAATCGAGCACTTGCAAGGCTTGAAGGAACTTACTCTGACTGATATGCCAGAGGATTTCATAGAAATAATCAAAAGAGGTGTAGGAAGGGAAATGTACATCAAAGTAAATGAGTGGAAGCTTTCTCGTCATCAGGTAGGTCTTTATTGCTCTCATGTTCAATTCTATCTGTATGTTATGCTTTCATACTCAGATTCATGTCAGTGATTTATCTGGTCGAACGGTTGAACCGCAATGAAAGTTGATGGTGATACAAAAAGATTTGGCTGTTGCTGCTTCTCTTAGTTTGTCAGAGCTAGCTTTCATCGTGTATCTACAATCTTGTAGCTAAGTTGTTTTTTTTGCTAAACTTGTAGCTAAGTTGTTAATCTCTCTCAAGACCGAACTTGATGATTTCGTCCAGAGTTTACTCTGATCTGTGCTATAAATTTAAGTTGCGCAAGTGGCGTTGGAAGAGTTTTTGTGAGTGTCAGGTTATTTTGCATTGATCTGGACTTACTTTTTTGTGGTTGATCTTTACAGGCAAATCAGGTCCAGACTGCAGATGAAGATGATTGGTACGAAGACGAGGATGACAGCAACAGCTATGTTGAAGAAGAAGAAGAATACTATAAGGAGGAAGGAGATGAAAGTGGTGAAGTTAATGTAGATGGACAAGAAGATCACAACGAAAGTGTTGATGAGAAGTGAACAAAACAAGTTTGAGTTTGTTGTTTAAATCTGTTCTATTATTGTTCATAGCAAATACACTGCTTGCGGGAACTTTCTATTAGTGTATGTACATATCTTGCTCAGTTGCAGAACCAAGTGCTTGTTTTCTTAAGAAAGAACTACTTTGTAACATTCTGTCATTCAAGTGTTTGATGATCGAACTAGTACAGATTTCAATTAATGCTCCTATTATATGTGATCACGCTTTGTACCATCTGCTTTGATTTCCTGCATGAGTGTGAAACACAATTACTCTCCTGTATCCGTGAAGCCGGCCTTGCTACAAATTCAAGAGAACCTCAGTTAGAAGGACATATTCCCAACATGTGAATTGAATCAGTGGATGTCGATTCTTTACAGGGATGTTATCGAGAAAAAGCAATTCAACTCGGGCTTCCCATCTCGTAATTATTCAAAGCTCTAGTCCAAGAATATTAGATTCAGATATTAATCAGAACGCGAGGTTTATAATTGTCGAATCATCTAGGCAAATACCGAACGGCTATATGCATTGTATATTATTAATGAAGACAAGATTAATTTTCAAGATGGTATACTAAACTTATTAGTGCAGTAATTAATTTGGTCTCGTAATTCTTCATAAAGCTGTTATACAAGCTCTTATGAGGTCGTTTATTTGGTCGTCAGAGTCGAGAATACTCGAGATCTGCACATTCAAAACGGGTTATTGGAATGTATGGCCTTTTGTCCCAATTCCTAATGCATGATTACCAAGAGACAAAAATATTGTTCATGTGAAAATTTCATATATGTAGCAGGAATTTGAACTAATGCCACGGAAAATGGGGGTCCGAACAAACAACGGAAGCAACTATCGGTGTTTTTAAGTTATTTTGGCTGCAAGACCACATGTTCGTATGGTTTTATCATCAACTTCTTTAAGCAATAATGAGTCATTTTTAAAGCATTTCGTGCAGGATTTGATTATAGACCAGAGCAAGGTATAGCGATAATGGAATAACTTTTGGATATAAAAAGACCAAGACCTCCCTTGACCCTATTATATATATCGAATTACTAATATAAAAAGACCAAGACTAATATAAAAATGACCGAGACCTCTCTTGATCACCTAACTGCACATGCAAAACTGCAGAGGGATTGAATTTAAGCGACTTCCATCACCATCTCACCTTACTAAAAATGTGAACTTGAGCAAAGACTTGGAATGCATTTGCTGATATTTAATGGTTAAATATGTCCCCGTTGCATCGTATGACAGGACTTCTTCTAATGGGTTCAATACAAATATATATATATATGTATATATTTGGTCGCTCGGTTCAATATATTTAAGAGCTTTTGTTTATTGTTGACATTTGACTTTTAGCCGATGCGTCATACAAAGGTTAAAAAACTTGAGATTAGGGGTCCCTAATCGTGACAGGGCCCGTTTCTCGTAAAAAAGAATCGTTTTAGTATTTTTTTTTAGCAAAATTCAAGTTGCAATGTATTCTGTCTAAGCTAAGACATTGATTTCACCAATAATCCAGAAAAGTGTCAAGAGTTGACTTTTTGGTCAAATTATTAAAGTCAACCACTTGTCAAATTTTTCAAAAAAATCAAAAAATCCTTAAATCAACTCCTTTTTACCTTAATTTGACTTTTGCAATATCAATTTATAAAAATTAATGGTAAAATTTAACGGAAACTAACGGAGGGTAAATTTATCATAGGTGTACCAGTTTGGGATTTTTTGTGGTAAAAAAAATAATTTGGGGTAAATTTGTCACTTGTGTACCAGTTTATGGTTTTTCGTGGCATTAACCCTTTAATCTTCTAATTATATAAATTTCATAAAAATCCAATGTCATTTGGTTGGTCCGATGCTCGCTCCAAAAAGACGATCAATTCTAGTGTATGATTTGTGTTTCTGGTTTTGTATTGATGGATTTTGTTTTGCAAATTTGATATAGTTCAAGTCTCTTTTTGCAAAAAAGTAAAACTATTGTGCATAGGGATCTAAATGAGTAAACTAGAAAGTTTGAGGAATGGATAGCAAAGTTTAGCGTGTCAATTTGGACAAAAATTGGACAAGGTCAATTTCGGCCTCCAAAACTATTTCTAATGAAAGATTTGCAAAAACTTGCAAATTTAAAAAAGATCAAGGATTTTTTTGCAAAAATTAAAAATATGAAATTCGTTAGTAACTGAACGAGTTAGCTGTTTGTTGAATATGGCAGGATTTTGAAATTTCCAGACATTTTTCCATAATTTTCATATTTTAGGTTGAAATAGGGTCCGAGTCTGGAGCAATGTTGGTTTTGGGTCAATCGCAATCTAAACGGGTCGAGTGGTCTAAACAACATTCAAAGTACACTTCATGAGGATTCTAGGGATGCCTGAATAATTCAAAACGGATTCCATTTAGTGGGTCAATTGAATCAAAACATAATTGCCTAGAATCAGTAGAAATGAATAAGTGATCCAATCATTGGCTCACTAATTGTTTGATCATTGCCCGAGGCTAATTGGCCTAAATGCATGATTAATTAGGGCCTCTGCATGTGATTGTTAGATGTATGTTTAGGGCCGATGCATGATTCAATTGGTAGCTTAATGGGATGATTAGATTAGTGATTAATGATCTTGTCCATTGCTTTGTGAATGCAAGTGTTGGTCAATTATCATTAATCTCAATTAATGAATCCTAGCTAATTAAGAAGTGGTTTGTGACGATTGAAGTGCATGAAATCAAAGGCTGATCCCAAGGCCACTCCATGATTGCTTTGATGAACTTCGCTCATTGATTGCTTTAAGAAAATGCATGTTATGCGTGATGAATGAATGAGAAACCGACACCTATGAAGAGATGGTCAATGGCGGTCCATGGAGGAGGCAGTCGAAGGTTCTCAATGGCGGTGAAAGATCGATGTCCCTTCCGGTCTTAAACATTTGTAATAGTTTTAGACTAGTTTCATTCTAATTGAACATTAAACCTAAGTCTTAGCTAGATTAGGCTACAACTAATTAAATTAAATTAGACTTAGCTTCACATTTAATTAGGGTAGTTTAGCCTAAGTTCTTTCATAATCAAATGATTAGAATTAGGGTCGCCTTAGTCTTCAATAGCAAGCTTCCAAGAGTTCATGTCACGAGGCTCAATAACAAGGTCATGTAATATTCTTTGCCCAAATTTGTATCAGGTTTTTATTTTCACACATAGATAATTGCTTTCAATTCATTGGATGTTTAATTTCCGCATTGCATTTCAATTCATCAAGTGTTAGTCGCTTTTTTCTAAAATAGGATTAGGACAAGATTAGAATCATAATGAACTCCCCAACAAAAACGTTTGCATGGACACCTAGTGGCTTTTGAGACCTTAAGGATGCATAAGTGGTAAACCAAGATTACATGATCATTTAGGAATAAAACCAACTAGTTAGATACTAAAAAAGCGCTAATAGAAATATTAGCGTAACCAATTTCCCGTTCCTAGAAATCTCTAATTACGTAGAAATCGAGCCAACTCTCCCATGTCTTTCATTGGGTTATACCCGACCCCCAATAATGGCTAGTGGCAACTCCAAGTAAATACTTAGGTTGTAATGAACTTAAGAAATAATCCCGTGTCACATGAGGTATGGAATTGGGAGAGTTCGCGCTCTTAATTGATGGACTGATTGGGTGGACAAAAGATGATGTGTTTGAACTGTCTTTTCTATGAATCATTCGGACTGTCTTTCAAGCAATACCTCTAAATCTATTCCCGAGGGTGGCCCCTCGAGGGTAGGTCGCGACAGATTGGTGACTTCATTAGAGACTTGGTTACGAACCTAAGTGGACTTAGGCCGTAAAAAACTTGTTGGTTGTTTTTACTAACGTGGTGGTTTACGTTGATAGAGCGTGTCAAAGTCACGTGGAAAACAAGGTTAGTCCACTAACACCGTGTTAAATGGTTTGTAGGTTAAAGGTTATAAGGAGTGGTGTTTTTCTAAACCCCTTGTTTTTTAGGTGGCGACTGGATGTATGGCATGAATGTGGAGATTATATTGAAGCAGTGTTTACTTAACTTTTATTGCATGTTTACTTTCGTTAGCACTACACTTCGTACACACAACCCACGGTCAAAAACCCCCGATCGCACTAGGAAGGCTATTAGGACATATTGATAATGGAACCCATGTGAGTAAATACTCGTGGTAATCTATTCTCAATCCCGCTCATCTTGATTAGTAAAAAGTGCACAGGCCACATTAGTAGCGAAAGGTAAATTCTTTTTATCTAATCAAGGTGAGGACCTTAAACCTTTAGAATCCCACTTTTAGGCATCAAACCTCACAAGTTTGCACGCGCATGTCTTTGTGATTTGCCATTCCCTTTCATTGGTAGGGTTGTATGTATCGCTCCAATCTTTCATTTACCATTCTTTCTTCTACACAATTTGAAATTTCATGTCATTTTCTTTTTGTAACACTTGGTTCTAAAAGGAAACTCCAATGTTCTTCCATTCACATTTCTAGAGCGATAATTTTTTAGCTTGCCTAGGAAAGAGGGTAATCTAATTCCTAGGGTCTTTCTTCTAGAATTCTTCGATTTCATGGTCTTTTCATTCACAAAAAAGAACATGGATCCCTTAGTAATCCACGTTGTCACTCAAGTTTGCACGTTCAAGAGGTTTATTGGCATGATCTTACGTGAAACCTTCGTGTCACTCAATAGATTCAAAGAAAGCGGGGTAGGCACTCTTAAAGCACCCATAAGTTTACTCCAAATTTGGCTAGTTTCTCACTTTAAGGAGTTTAGCTTAGTCATGATAATCTTAGGTGATTGCAAATGTGTCATTATTTTTTACTTTTTCGAGATAGAAAAAAATTCTTCCCATATTGGTCATTTTCCGTATGAATTAAGTTTTAAAGAACCTCGCTCCTAACCAAATCTTATAGTATGTTTGTTGGTTAGGAATTCTCGAGGTACACCTTACTAATGGACTAGACAACATGATTCCACTCTTGGGTCTCACGGGGTCTATGTCATATTACTCTTTAAGGGTGGTTTGTCAATATCGTACACTTTAAGAGATCCCACCATCCTCAAGTTGGGGTTATATTGTTTTGACTATTGCAAAGAGGTCCTCAAAGGGGACCAAATTGCGAATTTGAAGAAATAGTTTGTCACGCCCCGACTCGGAATCAAGATCGAT